AGGTTGGGCGGAATGAGTACTGTACTTTATACAATGTACATGTTAGGATGCATGTCCATGACAATTTGTTTCAAAATCTGGTCAAGGATGGCCGATTGACAGCCATCTGACTTTTTGGCCTTACTACTATATTTCCACAATTTATGTACCATTTTCATTCGTATTTGGCACATACATCATACATATCAGTGTGTTTCATAATCAGATCAAAGATGGCCGAATAACGTCTGTTTTTATTTTTGGCCAAATAACTACTACATGGAACACATGTTTTGATGTAAATAAACAATCTGTTGTATACGCCACTTGGAACTCAAGTTTCAAGGACACGTTTGCGACAACCCCTCCGCTTTAATATGACGAGCACAAAGAGAACTTTCAAAAATTTAACGGGGACTGTGTCATTTTCAATGACTTGTTGATTTGTGTTTTATACACCCAAACATGTGTAAGCAGTGCTGGTAATTGAAGGATAAAACTATTTCAATATCCTTGGAATCTTGTAGCCATTTGTTGAAAAAAATCTAGTACATAGATTTGCCTGGACTTGCAATTTCGTGCATATTAATTACCTAATTTGCATAATAATCGATCAATTTCCAGCTTCAAGATTCAAGAATCACTACAGATTTCAATGAGTATTCTGGTTTATTTTTTGCATAATCATAATGACTTAATTTATGCAATTTTAAGATGTTTCACAGATATTTCTGTTACCTTTCATTAAATTTAAATGAAACATATTAAATACTCCATGTACTCTGGGATTAAAACACCTGAATAGATGATGGTTGAATATTGATCACCTAATTTGCATAAATTAGTCAACTTCTTGTTATTTCAAGAATGATATTATCAGATTTAAATGAAACTTGGGACATACATGAAGGTAGCCAGGGATACTCCACAGATGTAAATTATAAATGTTATTCTGTAGGTTGATGATAAAACATTGCACAGTAAACTGAAGAACACACCACCTGATTTTAAAAGGTCTGATTTGCTTCAAAGCATCTATCCTGTACTCAGCTCATTAGCATCTTATCATGCATATTTGGACCAAAACAGACAGGTAAAGTAATTTTCTTGTCATTTTTATTAATGCATTTGTGTTGAATTCAAAATAAAGTTTTGTATGTTTAATTTTATCGTTCCTAAGAGTGCAACATATTAAACATTTAATATGTATTTTTTTTTTTTTTTAACCAAAGTGCTTCAAGGTGACAAGAAGTGACAAAAGTTGGCATTCAGTGGGTTACTAACACTAACTGTTGTTTTCTTACCATAGACTGCTTTAGTGGAAAGTTTAGAGCATGGTTTAGTGTCCAAGTGTGCACAGCTTTGTGTCAAAGCCTTGACCTTATGTACTATTGAAATGCAGACTATAATGGTCAGATTAATGCCGTCCATGTTACTTAAATTATCACATATATCAGCTACAAAAATGGTTGCCATACCAATGATTGAATTCCTCTCAAGTAAGTCATATGTTGTACATGTTACTCCAAACAAGTAAATTTTGCTTTGTTTTGATATATAGTGTTCAGTAAATATTGTCTCACACTAAAAATAAGTAAATAATGTTAGTTTTTAGAGACACTATTGAATGTTTAATTCAGACAAACAAATAAGTAATAGCAACAGATATATTTATAATTGTTGTGATGTAGACTACAATGTATGTAATATGTTTCTACAGGTTTAACTCGACTTCCTAGACTGTATGCAAGCTTTAATGAAGACCAGTACATGAGTATCTTTGCCATTGCACTGCCTTACACTAATCCATTCAAGTAAGTGTTATGGGTAGAAATATTACATGTATAAATGCAATGTTTCAACGATGAACATGTGTGGATATATGTACTGACTTGATTTCCATGGCTACCAGACTGACTTGATTTCCATGGCTACCAGACTGACTCAAGAGAGCACATTTTCTCTATTTTCTTGGTGTACATGTGTAGATATATGTACTTACACTAATCCATTCAAGTAAGTAATGTACTTACACTAATCCATTCAAGTAAGTATTGTACTTACACTAATCCATTCAAGTAAGTATTGTACTTACACTAATCCATTCAAGTAAGTATTACTGTACGGAATTGCTATATTTGTAATGTTCCAAAAATGTACATGTTTAGATACTGACTAATTATCCATGGTTAATTAGCTACTACCGTAAAATCTGTATTAGAATCCGCATCTCTAATAGAAGTCGCACCCATTTTTTTTTTAACAATTGGGAACCAAAAATTCATCATTTCTCATATGTGTATATGCTCTAATAGAAGCTGCATCCCCTCTGTTGAATTGTACCATTTTAATAGAAGCCGCGGCTTCAAATACAGATTTTACAGTACTCAGAATCAGATAACACGTTCTCTCTATCCATGGCTACTAAACTGACTCAAGACAGTACATTTTCCTGGTGCACAAGTGCAAGCAGCCAGGCAACTATATTGTATTCAATGTTGGAAACTTGTGTTTTGACTGGATACATCACTTGGCTATTTTTTACAGGTTCACACTATATGTTGTGTCATTGGCACATCATGTGATTGCTATGTGGTTCATCAAATGTAGATTGCCATTCAGGAGGGACTTTGTAAGTTTTATCACCAAGGTAAGAACATTCATTCCTGACTTCAAAGTGTTAATGATATGTGCATTATGTAAATCTTATGAGAAATACATTTGAGCTCAGGTAATAGTGTGGCATCGCTGTCTTAAATTGTGTTGGGATTCTATAATTGTTATGGTTATTTGCCATAACCTGATCTGGCATATGATACAAGATCAAAGTACCGACAATTCAGAATATGCAACAAAATGAATGCAAAGCAAGCTATGCGCATTCACAGCAACAATTTTAATTATCCAAAACATTGCAATTAGCGATAGCCATGGTACAAATTACTTAAATCATGGTCACATTATAGTTACCGGTATAACACATATTATGGCATATATTTATATTCTGTAACCAAAATGTGACCATCATTTCTTACTTAATTAGTCCCCGTTGGAACGAAGTCCGAAAA